CGCACGTACGCGCGTACGCACACGTACGCACACGCACGTACGCACACACGTACGCACGGACGCACACGCACACACGTACGCGCACACACGTACGCGCGTATGCACACGCACACATACACACGTATGCACACACGTACGCGGACGCACACGCACACACGTACGCGTACGCACGCACACACGTATGCGCGTATGCACACGCACACACATACACACGTACACACACACGTACGCGGACGCACACGCACGCACGTATGCGCGGACGCACACACGTACGCACACACGTACGCGCATATGCACACACGTACGCACACGCACACACGTACGCGCACACATGTACGTGCAGACGCTTAGTGACAACTTGATTTAAGAAGAAAAGCCAACCCGTTTTTACACGAAGCAAAGCCGACGGATAACACTTTCCTCGAAAATTCCTAATAAAAAATAAGTTTCTCTCGAACGTGTGGCGCCGTTTCACGAGCGTTACAATTCTCACCTCAGTTGTAAAACTATTAAACAAATTTTTTATTATTTTTACCAGGTAAGGCCCCGCTGAGCTGCTCGTCGAAGTTGGCGGATTACCATCGTGTGAAAATGTCTCGGAGCAGCGAAATATTCTGCATGCACGTCGATTCTAAATGTGGAGGGGAAAATCGGAGGACCCGGAGAAAAATACACGTGACCACATCTCCTAGCCACCGTGGTGATGATGATGAGAGAGGGACACGCAAACTCCAAATATACAGCAGCAAGCGTCAGGGTCGGGATCGAACCTACGACCTCTTGTACACCAGGCGAGGTAGTTAACATCTCCTAGCCACCGTGGTGATGATGATGAGAGAGAGACACGCAAACTCCAAATATACAGCAGCAAGCGTCAAGGGTCGGGATCAAACCTACGACCTCTTGTACACCAGGCGAGGTAGTTAACATCTCCTAGCCACCGTGGTGATGATGATGAGAGAGAGACACGCAAACTCCAAATATACAGCAGCAGGCGTCAGGGTCGGGATCGAACCTACGACCTCCTGTATACCAGGCGAGGTAGTTAACATCTCATAGCCACCGTGATGATGAGAGAGGGAGAGACACGCAAACTCCAAATATACAGCAGCCGGCGTCAAGGGTCGGGATCGAACCTACAACCTCCTGTACTCCAGGCGAAGTAGTTAACATCTCATAGCCACCGTGATGATGAGAGAGGGAGAGACACGCGAACTCCAAATATACAGCAGCAGGCGTCAGGGTCGGGATCGAACCTACAACCTGTTGTACACCAGACGAGGTAGTTAACATCTCCTAGCCGCCGTGATGATGAGAGAGAGAAAGAGAGGCACGCAAACTCCAAATATACAGCAGGCGTCCGGGTCGGGATCTAACCTACGACCTCCTGTACACCAGGCGAGGTAGTTAACATCTCATAGCCACCATGATGATGATGAGAGTGAGAGGCACGCAAACTCCAAATATACAGCAGGCGTCAGGGTTGGGATCGAACCTACGACCTCCTGTATACCAGGCGAGGTAGTTAACATCTCCTAGCCACCGTGATGATGAGAGAGAGACGCGCAAACTCCAAATATACAGCAGCAGGCGTCAGGGTCGGGATCGAACCCACGACCTCCTGTATACCAGGCGAGGTAGTTAACATCTCCTAGCCACCGTGGCGCCCCGATTAATGTAGTGACGGTGCTGGCCCATTGGGGATCCAGAGCAGAAATAACTTCTGCACCCATGAACTACTTGGGGCTCTGACCTTTTTACTTGGTTTTTGCTGAATGCCTAGCCCCCACCACTGACCAAATGTAGTAGATGCATTAGAATAAGCTTTTACCCTTTCTGGCAATAAAACAGGTGTTAAGATGTTCAAACGCCAAACAGAATCATTTTGCAAGGAATAATAAAGTCTGCATTAACCATGCGTACTTGCGGTGAACATGCAAACAAACATTTATTAACACATTCCTGCGGAGGGAGCTGGTAGGAACGTTGGGTTGCTCGGTCAATGGCCTGCAGGGTCAACGACGGCCTGGTGTATTCCGCAAATATGCCCGACTGTGAGGGCGGGCACAAGCCGGCGTGAGTAGGTTAAACGTTGAGTTTTATAAGGGCACCACGGGGTGAGCAGCCCCTCCCCTCCCCACCCAGCCCCACCCTTCCGACCAACCACCCAGCCCCACCCTCCCCACCCAGCCCCTCCCCACCCTCCCCACCCAGCCCCTCCCCACCCTCCCCTCTCCACCCAGCCCCACCCCTCCCATTTTTGGATTCACGACAGACGGACGGACACAATAATCCCCTGTGGGCTGGTGTCACCAGGAGGTTCCTAGCAGTATAATATTTACATTGTCTTTGAAACTGATTGACCTACACGAGTATCGCCATTGTCAGAGCAGAGAACACCAAAAAGCGAACAGTACAAAGACAATGCCACACATATCAGATAATGCATAGCTGGGGGGGGTGAGCAGCTATACCATGGCACCTTTTTGCAAGTATCAAATTATGTAGAATAAGAATAGCTTTTACCCTTTCTGGCAATACAACGGGTGTTCAAATGCCAATTAGATACCTTATTAGTTGGCTTAAGGAAAGTTGTTACCACTTACCATTTAGTCAGGGGCTCCTTTGACGCCGGCTTCCCGTGCGAGCAATTTAAGAATCTTCTTGGTTCTTTCGGTAAAGTCACGCAAGCAGCCGTCCTCAGGTGTAGAACAGATCTGTCGAGAAGACAGAGACCTGTTCTACACCTGAGGACGGCTGCTTGCGTTGTGGCCGAAACGTCGTGAGAATTATTTATTATGTTTTATTTTTACTATTTCATTATTTCCATTCTACGTGACTTTACCGAAAGAACCAAGAAGATGAATCCCTGCAGTCACGAAAGCTTTAAATCCAATTTAAGAATGTTGAAAATACTATACTCTTTGGTTCTTTCGGTAAAGTCACGTAGATATAAAATAAAATAAATCACGATGTTTCGGGCGCAACACAAGCGTCCGTCATCAGGTGAGAAAGCATGATCTGCTGCTGAGCCAGACTCTTTACCGAAAGAATCAAAGAGTATGGATTCCTGCAGTCACGAGAGCTTCAAATCAAGGTTGAAAATACTGCTCCATAAAGCTGAGGGGCGACTGGGTGGCTCAGAAGTCAGAGGTCAGAGCGCCGATTGCACACCGCTGAGAACCTGAGTTTGAATCTGGGCTTCAACCACACGCGATTAAAGCCGATGCTCAGTTGCAGCCAGGTTGCGGTCTCAGCCTGGTTACCAATGACTGCAAGAAAAGCCATCAGGCATCAGGTTTAGTGGAACGTGGAAAAGTGCGCCCCCTATAGTGTAAAGTAAAAAAGGCCATCTTCTTGGTTCTTTCGGTCAAGTCACGTCAGGTGAAGACCAGGTCTGAGGACGGCTGCTTGCGTTGTGGCCGAAACGTCGTGAGAATTATTTTATTATGTTTTATTTTTGTTATTTTATTATTTCCCTTCTACGTGACTTTACCGACAGAACCAAGAAGATAAATCCCTGCAGTCACGAAAGCTTTAAATCTAAAAAAAAATGGCAGGAGTAGGCCAATAAATTGTCTAAAAATTGCCGCTCTAGAGCATCTAAGTTGCAAAACTAAGGGGCAAGGGAGGAAGCTTGCCACCAAACATTGAATCCTCTCTTCTCCTCCAAGGGGTATCAGAGCTTAGGAAGACACTAGGGAGTTGTACAGTTTATACAAACCGGTGTATTGAAACGTGCGGTTTAAGGCAGGTTTCCATCAACTCCCCGTTCATATCCTGCTCGTTTTCTTGATAAAATACTTTTGGAGACGATACAAAAAAGTTGAAGTGGGCCAGCTCGCCGCGTGTCCCGGTGGAGCATCTCGGACACAAATGTGCTGCCGTTTATTGAATGCCCCCCCCCCTCGGTTTGACGCTTCGCAGAAGGCGCGCTCGTGTTCCCGGGCTGTCCATCCAGTGACTCGACAGAATGCGACAACCGCCAAAACATCTGCAAGCTCAACCAGGAGGTGAGAGGCCACGCGCAGGTCGCACGCGTGAGCCCTGCGCGTTCGTCGCACGGGCGCATACCGTGTCAACCCATCACGGTTCACCCCGTGCTCATGTGCAGGGAAATTGAGTGTTTCAGGTCCTCATCTTCTTGGTTCTTTCGGTAAAGTCATCACGTAGAAGGGAAGTAATAAAATAATAAAAATAAAACATAATAAAATAATTCTCACGACGTTTCGGCCACAACGCAAGCAGCCGTCCTCAGGTGAAAGCCAGGTCTGTCGAGGCGACAGAGTCTGAATGAAACAGCACACGAGCTTGGAGCATATATATAAGCTGGGCGCCTTGACAAATGAATTTGCATATCAAGAGGAATTTAGCATATTTATGGGAAATGCAGGAATGTGATTAGTACTGCATATGCATGTGCATTATGCAGGATTAGCAGCATCAGGTCCACACGGCGGCGTACAGCCGTTTTAATCCGGTGCAAAACATTTATTTTTGTCAATTCGTTTGTGTTTCTCCCTTGCGATGGGACTTTGTAGGATGAACGTTGAGATGTATAAGGGGGCACGGGGTGACCAATATTAGGTCTGAATTGGTCTGCAATAAGATTGGGCACTGATAAGGGGTTGACAGGTATGCGAGCACAGTTAGGTGTGAGCACGTGTCGTGCAGTGCGTCCGGCGTGCTCGCGTGCGTGCAATGGTGTTTTATTTTTAAATTCTTTATATTAAGTTCACTTGCTTGCTTGCTTGCGTGCTTGCGTGCTTACGACCGTGCAAATCTTTCGGTCGTTTTTTAACCAACTTCCCGTGATCCAATCGAGCTGACATTTTGCACACAGACTCGTTGTGCGTGACAATTTATTTTCGTGAAAATTTTTTTCCAAAATTTTCAACATTTAGGAAATATTTTTTTTATATTTAATTACCAATTGCTTAATGGTGGCAGGCAATCATCTGACCCATAGGTGGCAGCCATCTCAAGCCAGAGGACGAGATGACTCTAGCCGCCCGTTTCAAAGACCAATGTGGGCTGGATTGTGGCCCATTGAACACGTACTGTAAATTATTTGCCACGCATATAAAGCATCTATAGTGAAAAACTTTGTTTTTACGGGTGAATTTTTCTTATCAACGATCCGAGGTCATACATCCACCCGATGTCCTCGGATCTCGGACGCCAACCAGGGTTCAATCTGGTTAGATAGCAGGGCACTGGTGCTTGTCACGTGGTCTAGGCATAGGCTGCGAGGCATTCAGGAGATGGCAGGAGAATGCTGCATGCTGGAATCTTGCATTTGGGCCGCGATTATGTTCAAGAATTGACCATTTCTACATTTGAAGTTTTCGTGACTGCAAGGATCCATACTCTTTGGTTTTTTCGGTAAAGTCACGTAGGTTAAAAAAGAAAACAAATCAATTAAGTCTGAAGACGGAAGCTTGTGTAGCCTCCGAAACGTCTTGATTTAATGTATTTGTTTTCTTTTTTAACCTACGTGACTTTACCCTAAACAACCAAAGAGTATGAATTGACCATTTGTTTGTCCCGGTCTTACCATTTTTATTGTATTGTTTCTCACGGTCTCTGTCTCTCTCCTCTCTCTCTCTCTCTCGCTCGTCTGGTTGGGCTTTCTTCTTCGCACACAATCAACATAACATCGCTTGAAGGTGCGTGCTGACAGGTATAGCGGTGTCAGCCCTGTCCAGAGATCTGTTAGATTAGCACTATGTTTTTTTTGTATTCTTCTTCTAAAGGCTTAAGAAGTAAATATGCATAATTGTTTTTTTACCCTTTTATCTGGCAACAACCAATTATCATATCTTTTTACTGGCAAATGAGGTTCCAATGAAGTAAATATGCAGTCCAGAATCACCACTTTTAGAAATGTCCTAACATTGCCATGCAAAGACTCCCACGCGAAAGTACAATTTGTGAACGGTTTTTTGTTATGTGTTTCAAATTGCCCCCTGCCAATGCCGCCCCATCATTAAAAAGTTTGGAGCGCATGCTCCCCTTATTAGCGGCGATCCTCCGGTGACAACGCAAGATAATTAACCCCGCGAAACAATTGGGCGCTTCGTGACATTTCGCGCAAAGTTGACGCGTCGCTTTGCCGCTCAACGCAAACCCGAAGTGGAATTCGCTGCGGCGGGGGCTGGTTAACCACCGCTGTGGGTTTGCGGAACACTCAAAACCCGCTGGGCTACGAGCGTGGCGAGGACGTGGCAGTACAGCAAATGGGATTGTGGCCGATGTGGGTTGATTTTTTTAGCACGGGTGCCTAAGTACGGTGCGAAAGAAGTTCAACATATCATCATGGGACCTCCTTTGCCGGTACCAACATGATGTAGCTGCTCACCCCGAGCTCTCGTTACTCTGCTAGTGCGTTGTCTTTGAACTGTGCGCCTTTTGGCGTCATCTGGTCGACCACCATATGAGACTAGGCTCTAAAGAAAGCTGTCTCTGGTGTGGACCAATCAGGTTCAAAGACAATGCATACATTATCAGAGTATTGTTTTTGTTTGCATTTGACTGCAAGTATTGTGGTTAATGTAAGCATGATTCCTTCCAAAAGGTGTCAGTTTTGTTGCCAGAAAAAAAGAGGAAAAACCCTATTAGTATATTTTGGTACTGGCAAAGGAGATCCCATGATGTAGCTGCTCACCCCGAGCTCTCGTTACTCTGCTAGTGCGTTGTCTTTGAACTGTGCGCCTTTTGGCGTCATCTGGTCGACCACCATATGAGACTAGGCTATAAAGAAAGCTGTCTCTGGTGTGGACCAATCAGGTTCAAAGACAATGCGTAAATTATCAGAGTATTGTTTTTGTTTGCATTTGACTGCAAGTATTGTGGTTAATGTAGGCATGATTCCTTGCAAAAGGTGTCAGTTTTGTTGCCAGAAAAAAAGAGGAAAAACCCTATTAGTAAGTTCAACATACATATACAAACATTAAAAAGCCACTGGAGCTTTGCCCTTTTAAATATAGATTGAAAACTAATTTCTTTAGAACTGCTTTTTGTGTGTTAGTTTGTTGTCCTTCCTGCGCATCTCCGATGAGCACGGTTGGCGACGTTCGGTGTGAATGCGTCCAACATACATTCATTCAGAGCTCCATGTCTACAACGCCTGGCGACTAGCCCTGATGGTCACCCTTGTCCAAGTACATACTAACTAGACTCAACCCCATTTGGCTTCTGAGACCTGACTAGATTAGCCACGTTTTGGCTTATCTGCTCGACGGCATTCGACGTCTAAGCGGCTTGCGTGCGGCGCGTGCTTTGCTCGCTCTGCGTGCAGATGTCCACGCTGACTCGAGAAGTCTCTCAACTGAGTCAGGACCTGCGCAGCGTCATGCTGCTCCTCAAGATGTTCCTGCCGACTCAGCCCAAACTCCCGGCAGCCGCTGAACCGGGCCGCTCGGTTCTCGCGCACTCGCCGCCCGGCGACAATCGTTTCGGGGCGCAGGTGCGGCCCGCCACCTTTGCCGCGTGCGACCACGCGGGCGACGCGTCCGCCGACGGCTGCTCCGCTGGGCCCGGCGCGAAGCCTCCCGCCGGTTCGAGCGCGACGAACAATGGCGGCGCCGCGGCAACGACGCGCCACTGCGGCTACGCGCGAACGTGCTTCTGCAGAGGCGGGCGCGACTCGAACCTCCTCAACTCCAATTTCAATTGCCTGCTGTGCGCGCCCGAGCCAAGCGGCGGCGGCGGCGGCGCGAGCGTCGCTTGGCCCGAGTCGCCCGTCGGTTTCTACGACGCCGCTGCCGCGGCGAGCCTCGAACCGCGAGGCCCGAGGGGTTTCATTCCGGAGGTGACGGTCGACGCGCAGGCCTCCCCCGCGGAGGACGGCGGGTGGCACGACCTGGTCGAGAGAGGGGCGGTGGAGTGCGCGCGTCTGCTGGGGACGCACCACCCCGCCGCCGCCGCCGCCGCCGATGCCTCCGCTCCGTCTCGCGACGTGCCGGAGCTCGTGTCTCTGGAGCTGCTCAGGGCGTCGTCGGTGGCGAACGCCTACCACGGCGGTACGGAGCTCGTCGATAACAAAGTGTAGGAGGGAATAGCCAGCGGGCAGTTTTTTAACGAGTTTGATGAGGACGAGCGCACGGTCTTCCCCCCCCCCGAGTGTGTGTACGTACATGTTGAACTTCTTTCGCACCGTACGTAGCGAACCGTGTGAATAGGAGGTGCGGGGGGAGGACAACAAACTGAACACGAGAAGAAAAAAGTTTTCTATTTAGATTTAAAAGTGCATAGGGGCCGTCCATCAATGACGTCACGCACCTGGGGGGGGTGGGGTCAGACACTTGTGACGATGTGTGACGAGGGGAGGGGGGGGGTTTGAGAAATGTGACGTCACATCAAAATGCGCAACTTTAAATCAATATAGGATTGTTATAACAACACTAATTGTTATAACAACACTAATTGTTATAACAACCCTCCTACAACATCAGAGTGCAGCGCCACATTACATTTGCACTACAATGACGATAGTTTAAAGCGATTTAAAGCATGCTTTATTTTCGAAATGTAAATATGGTTTTGAGGGGGGGGGGCGTTAGAGCTTTGTGACGTCATATTTGAGGGAGGGGGGGGTCTGACTTTTTGTGACGCCGTGTGACGAGGGGGTGGGGGGTCAAAAATCGCCCAAAATCGCGTGACGTCATTTATGGACGGCCCCATAGCTCCAGCGGCTTCCTAATATCACTCCCAAAGGCCGTGCAGCCAATACGCTGAGTAGACACGTAACTTTTGCGTTGTATACGGTGGACGGATGAATATGGGAAGGAAGCATTATTTATATTTAGACAAATACGTCAATTATATTTCGATTTAAAGCTTTCGTGACTGCAGGGATTCATCTTCTTGGTTTTTTCGGTAAAGTCACGTAGAAGGGAAATAATAAAATAATAAAAATAAAACATAATGAAATAATTCTCACGACGTTTCAGCTACAACGCAAGCAGCCGAAACGTCGTGAGAATTATTTTATTATGTTTTATTTTTATTATTTTATTACTTCCCTTCTACGTGACTTTACCGAAAAAACCAAGAAGACGTCAATTATACTCACGTGAGCGGAAATTGCACGGGAATGTTGTGTTTATTTCGAACTTCTTTCACGCCGTACGTAGCCAACCGTGATCATCGGAGGTGAGGGGGGGGAGCGAGAACAAACTAAGCACACACAAAGCAGTTCTGCCTGGTAATGGAATGGCATAATGTGGCCGAGCATTGTGAACAGCTAAATTAAATGGTGTGGGCCGTCGGTAATGAAGATGCACTAATAGCAAAGGGCATTTACGTGCCGATTGGGAACAAAATCTAGTTCATGTAATGGCGTATGGGGCCGTCCATAAATGACGTCACGCGATTTTGGACGATTTTAACCCCCCCCCATCTCGTCACACGGCGTCACTAAAAGTCAGACCCCCCCCTCAAATATGACGTCACAAAGCTCTGTACCTACCCCCACCCAAAACCGTAATGCCATTTGGAAAATAAAACATGCTTCAAACTATTGTCATTGTAGTGCGTATTTAATGTGGCGCTGCACTCTGATGTTGTAGGAGTGTTGTTATAACAATTAGTCTTGTTATAACAATTCTACATTGATTTAAAGTTGCGCATATTTACGTGACGTCACATTTCTCAACACCCCCCCCCCCCTCGTCACACATCGTCACAAATGTCTGACCTACCCCCCCCTAGGTGCGTGACGTCATTTATGGACGGCTCCTATTTAGACGATTATTTGTGTGCAGTGGACTGGGTGCGTAACAGCCTGGCCAGAGACGTTGTACCAAAATGAAACACGTGGGCATCGTTCAGTTACAACATCGTTCAGTTACAACATCATCGTTCAATTACAACATCATCGTTCAATTACATCATCATCGTTCACTTACAACAACATCGTTCAGTTACAACAACATCGTTCAGTTACATCATCGTTCAATTACATCATCGGTTCATTAACAACATCGTTCAATTACATCATCGTTCAATTACATCATCATCGTTCACTTACAACAACATCGTTCAGTTACAACAACATCGTTCAGTTACATCATCGTTCAATTACATCATCGGTTCATTAACAACATCGTTCAATTACATCATCGTTCAATTACATCATCATCGTTCACTTACAACAACATCGTTCAGTTACAACAACATCGTTCAGTTACATCATCGTTCAATTACATCATCGGTTCATTAACAACATCGTTCAATTACATCATCGTTCAATTACATCATCATCGTTCACTTACAACAACATCGTTCAGTTACAACAACATCGTTCAGTTACATCATCGTTCAATTACATCATCGGTTCATTAACAACATCGTTCAGTTACAACATCGTTCAATTACATCAGCATCGTTCAGTTACATCATCATCGTTCAATTACATCATCGTTCAATTACATCATCATCGTTCAATTACATCATCATCGTTCAATTACATCATCGTTCAGTTACATCATCGTTCAATTACATCATCGTTCAATTACATCATCGTTCAATTACATCATCATCGTTCAATTACATCATCATCGTTCAATTACATCATCGTTCAGTTACATCATCGTTCAATTACATCATCGTTCAATTACATCATCGTTCAATTACATCAACATCATCATCGTCGTTCATCAACGTGCGTCGCTTCGACTTTCATCGGCTCACCGGCTCGGACGCGGCTCTGATTGCCAGGCGACATTTTCCTCCCCCCCCCCCCCCCCCCCCCCCCACGTGTTTTTGTACGAAAAGGACCTTAAGAGAGTTTCGACCGCGGATCGTGAGAAACGAGCGCCTAGGGAATTAAGCGCAGAGGTGGTAACGGAGCCGGTTGCTGTGGAGTTTTTAAAAACACGGTCGCGTTTTGTCGGGCTCACCGAGCAAGAGATATCTGCCCGGTCGGACCCCCTTGCGAGTGACACTTGGAAGGAAGATCTTACAGTTACATGCTAATTTCTCACATTAACATCAGTGCTAATTTCTCACGTTAACATCATGCGAATTTATCACGTTAACATCATGCTAATTTCTCACATTAACATCATGCTAATCTCTCACATTAACATCACTATCCCCAGCCACTTCTTTATAACCCTTGGGCTACACCCATTTCAAGCCTCAGCAGCAGACCATGATTTCCCACCTGATGGCGGACGCTTGTGTTGCGCCCGAAACGTCGTGATTTATTTGGTTTGAAACCTACGTGACTTTACCGAAAGAACCAAAGAGCATGGATTCCTGCAGTCACGAAAGCTTCAAATCAAGATTGATTTCATCCTGTGCTCAAAAGGGTCCACCAGGAATTGCCAGTGGATTTGAGAGGATTAAAACAAAATGAATTACGACGGATTTTTTGGTGCGTAAGCGCCAGTTAAATAAAAACCTCGCCAGCGATGTCGTGAATGTCTTACGATGCTGTCTGCGAACAAGCGAAGCACCGGGTGACCACCGAACGGCGTGTCCCGCCGCGGTGCGGCTTCGATGGCCACGGTTGTGGGGAAAGGTGGGGACCTCTTCTCCTCTTCCACCGGTGGCACGGGGCAGCCGCCGCACGCTGCGATGTTTGGGATTGCGGTTCAGATCCCGGGCCGCGTCTTCCTCGGTAGGTCCATCCCTGAGCGGGTTTCCGCGGTCGGATCGGCGGTCAGGCTCTTCTTGTTTGGGAATTAGCCATTGTCCTCCCCCCCCCCCCCCAATTGCTCTCAGACGCGACGTCGAGAGATTTCGCCTGGTCATGGAAGAGTAAGGGGCACCACGGTGGCGAGCTGTTAACTCCCTCGCTTGGTATGCAGGAGGTCGGGGGTTTGATCCCGACCCTGACGCATGCTGCTGTTTATATTTGGAATTTGTATAAGTGTCTCTGTCTCTCTCTCCCCCCGTGGTCGCGTGGATTTTTTCACCGGGTCCTCCGGTTTTTCCCTCCACATTTAGAAAACATGCGTTTCGGAGTGTTTGGCCGCTGTACATTTTCACGTGATGAGCCACTCCGTTGAGCCATCGTTTGTGGCCAGGTCACTTCTAAAAAAGAAATGTATAGGTCAGTGGGCCTTGCCTGGTAAAATGAAAAAAATGGTTTAGTTTGGGAGATTTGGAGTAGGGATGAGGGAGAACGAATGAAGGTGGGGAGATGTGGAGGGAAAGGGGGGTGATTATTTAGATTACACTGGTCAACAAAAAAAAAACGTTTTTTCTGGCCTGGACTTTTGCAGCTGTTTTAGACTAATTTCAGGGTGCCGATTCCAAATCTGATCTCAGATTTGCTCTATCACATCTCATTTTTATGCTATCGGCATACCCCATTTTCATTGATTTTACCCGACATTAACTCTGTCGCTTATGATTGCAAGTTGTTGCGAGTCAGTGATTGCTTTAGTGTTAAAATATGGTGCTGTATTTTTAGGATAGTCTGTTTATAATATCATTTTATGTAGATATCCACATTTATTTAATATTTTTCTTCTGCAGTTTTTATTGAAAATGCAATATTTGATATCTCAAAAACCGGATGTAATAGACAAAAACTGATGCCAGATTTGGAATCAACACCTCAAAATTACCTTGAAACCGTTGGAATACCTTATGCCAGAAAAAGTGTGTTGACCAGTGTTATTTGGCTGGACATGTGTGAAAAAAAGCTTTACAGCTCATCGGATTCCTCCAGTATGAATGAATAATCTGATTGTGAGTCTGTTGCTCACGAATGCCTCTGGATAGCGATCCCTGCCTGTGGCTTTGTATAGCAGCTCGTACGTCCACGTCCTGCGCCGAAAGCCAAATGACAGCCTCGGAGGGAAAAGCTGCGTGGATGCCTTCAATGATTCTGCTGACCGTGTGGTCACGGTCTATCTCCACTGTCGGTCACATGCCACCGACCTGTGATTTTCCACACGTCAGGCAGGAATGCGTTCCAACATCCGCCAGGTGCGATCACCGCCTATAACCGAAATAATATAATAGTTAATATAGAGTGCACGAAGTTGGTTTACATTTTTAAGCCGTGGCCAGTCGATTTTTTCTGCCCTCTTTCTGCTCCCAGAGAAAGGTTCTTTGCCCGAAACGTCAGCCGACTGACTATATGCAATATTGTTTCTGTTATGAGGCAGCAGTTTTTTTTTTAATGAATAAAGATAACCAACCCTTCCAACTGACAAGTATATTTATATAACAGCGCATCCATTTTATTATGTTATCATGTAGGCATTGGTTAAAATGTTTTACGCACTCTGCATTAACTACTGCACGTACATTTTCTGCTTCATGCTCTGAATTATAACAGCTCGTTCAATTGGCTTCTCGTGTGCAGTGCAACG